AGGCAGATGCAGGTGTACACAGACTCATCGCATTAAGACTTTAGTTCTCAGGCTGAGAACTAAACTATCAAAGCTTAGTTATGAGCTATCAGATATAAGTCAAAATTTTCATATTAGAGTGGAAAGATACCTTCAAAGTACAGGGACAAAAACACACAACTGAAACAGAATTGCTTTGAACAAACATTAGTGTGCTAATTAACATTAGCTAAAGTATAAACATATTTGAGCACTCGGACCATAACTGAGTTGAAGACAATGCACATTTCATTGTTTTCTTCAGGATTAGGATATTGTGGTCTTGTGATTTGTGTGCTGCTGTGGTAAGACAGGTCAAACAAATGAGCAACATAAATGCCGAAGTAATATTTTATGGAATCAAGTCAAATCCTCTTGAAAAAAATTACAGACCTGCAAACTTCTGTCTAAAGCATAAAAAAATCCCCCTGGGTCATCAGGATGATAAAATATAGCTTTGCTGTCAAAGTAGGTTGTTGCAACAGTGATTATGGAAATTAATACGTATAAAATTGGCTTAACCTCAGTGAGTCCACCCTATCACCCCTCCATCCTCCCCAAACGTGCTGCTGATGGGAGAGGAAATCAGCTGTTTACTGAATGCCTGTGACAGCGGCCATGACCAAAAATAACCACCAGAGGGGGCCAACAGTCAAGTAGCCAGGTATGAGCCAATGCAGTAACTTAACAGATGTTGTAATTAATATATTCAATAATGACAGTACAAAGACTTCCAGCACGCCATACAGCAGCCTTCATACTCAAGTAAAAGACTGCCCAAAGGGAAGTCAGCAACTAGATGAAAAAAACATTAAAAAGAAGGAGTAGGACTTAACTGGTAGAGAGTAATGCGAATGCTTTAAAAGAAAAATAAATAAATAAAAAAGTAACAGTATTCTGCCACACACAAAACCATGCCCCAGCTGTTGTCGCTCTAAAAATGCAGGGTTTACTTAGCTGTACTGATTATTGCCTAGTAATGTATCAGTTTAGTATGATTTCAAGCGCTGTTCGTGTTTGTCTTTTTGAAAGTGCTACTTAATCAAGGTTATCACCATGAGAAATGCATTTGCAGTTACAGCACAACCTGTGAGATGCAATATGTCTTTTTAATTGCACTACACAATTATAAAGACTTATTAAATCGCATAAGTTATTGGCCGTGGTACCTATATTTGTGTCTTCCTGTGATGGATAAGGATATATATCTTAAATGCTGCTTTAATAAAGCTATCTGCTACCTAGATATATTTGTAAAACAGCAATATTAATTTGAAAAAGATACTCACTTGTCTCTTTACATATATAGAGAGGTAAGGAGCATGCACTGATTACAGTGTGTTGCCACACCCACCACACGATAAACCACCTCAGGGTTGAGAACCTGAGTGCAGCCATGTGGCAGGTGATACCTCAGCACCACACTAGTCCGAATGGACCAGTCTGAGGTTTTTTCCAGTGGCTGGAGTGCCAATCCTGTCACCAACCCCCAAGCTTTTCCCTGTAAGTTGGAGGACCTCCTTACAGGGCTGGATGTAGATTAACATCATACCCAGGATGAAGCAATTGCAGGTTAATGGCCTTGCTCAAGGGCCCAATGGAGTAGAATTACTCTGGCCATTTACGGGATTTGAACCAGAAACCTTCCAGTTACTGGCACAGAGCCACCATTCCGTCCCATGAATACATGTGTATATCTATGTATTTATTATTTTTTTAAGAAACCTTATTGATTACATTTTACATATGCAATTCTTAAAAATAATTAATAATTCAGCAAATAACATTTTAATTATGAGACAAATTATGCACAAAATGTGGATATCGCTTAGGGTATTTCTCTAATCACCCTCACACATATACTTACACATAGAAATACTTTTTCTGATTACACTTTTAATTAATATTAGGACTAGATAATGACATAAATACCATTAACCTTATTTGCATAGTCATTTTCACTTTCAGAAACTATAGAAAATATTGAAGTCGCAATAAACTTGAAGGTAACCACCTAAACAAATAAATACCTCAAATAGCAACATGCAACACAAATCACAGCAAACTGGCTCATTGTATAATGTATGTACATCTGTGCTGTCATACTGGTTAAATGTGCGTCTAGCCCAGGGGTGGGCAATCTTATCCACAAAGGGCCGGTGTGTGTGCGGGTTTTCGCTGCAACTCCCTATAATTAGATTACTAATTAGAGGACTGATTGGCTGAAGAGTCCTCACATCTGGGTTTGAACAGCTGACCTACAGGTTATCCCAAAAACCTGCATACATACGGGCTCTTTCTGGATAAGATTGCCCACCCCTGGTCTAGCCAAACAACATTAAAAGCATTTAAACATTAAACAGTCTAATACCAACTGAGATAGCTTAGGTTTTATTATAACTAAGCTAAGTGTTATTGTTTTGCTACAAAAATCTGTAATTGCTCTAAAATCAAATTAATTTAGCTACAGTATAGGTAACAATCCTTCAAGATATTAAAGGATTAAGATATTGAGCAGACTGATAATAATAATTTTCATTCTCATAATGTACATAAAAATCATCCAAAAAAAAACAATGACAACAAAACAAATTCTGGTTTTAGGATAATCTTAATATTAGTTCCAACACTGGTAATTATACACCCTTTCCTGTTTGACGGTTTGATCTTTGTGAATTTTCCAATGACTGTATCACGTGAAAAAAATCTTTGTCCAACCATTATTAGGTATCCGTCTAAAAATGATGAAACTCTACATGTAATCTTGCTTTTGAAATAATTGTATCATAAGGAATATATTTATGTAAAATACATACTACTCTATGATAATTTTCTGATTACATTTGAAATAGAAATATTTGATGAAATTCCTTTATACAGTAGCTGCTCTCTTTAGTTTAATACAGCTCAGAACTTTATTTATGAACTCCCTAAATCCCTGCTTCATTAAAATATGGATCAGTTGATAATTTGGTTGATGTATTTAATTATAAACTGCACAATACTCTTGATACTGTCGCAGAAGAAATACAGAAAAATGTATTCCGAGATACTAATTATATCGTGCTCTAAAAAAAAGTGAAGTAAATTACAGTAAAATGACTTACTGAGTTAAAAGTGGTGCACTGACAAAGGACAGCTGTTAGATAAAAATACATGGTAATAATTAAGAATCTCTATGAAAGAATCTTTTATTCAAGTTGTTATATTTTAGTTGGGCAAATATTAGATAATGTTGGTAAATGTACATCGCACCCATGCACAGATGACACAATGCAATCTGTGTTCCCCCCATTTTTTTCCCTTAATATCTAATTTCCCTGATGCCTGGGAGTCTCCATGCGCCGGTTTGCATGGGAATTTGCTAAGAAATGTAGGATGGAGGAGTGTGGTTCTCTTTGCCATACCAAAGACATTATCCTGCTTGGAAATCACTTGGAAATTGGAAATCATTGAGAAAATCTTTGATGAGGAGATTTTGTTCGACCGAACAACCTTTTGTGCGGGATGCGGGCACGGCTGCTCACATCTCCCTTTCGTGTTCCTGTGTTTGACCCCTGACTCGCTCTGCATATTCGGATTTGTCAGAGGATGCAGAGATGCCTCGGCTGAGGGTCACGGGTCCATCTGGTTCTGCAGTGTTCAGCGTGGCTCGAACTCCATTTACCCTCTGGCACAATGTCTTACATTCCCAGCCAGACTGTGAGCCAGATGCACAGGCACCTGAATGGATCTTGGATACTGTATGACTCCTATTCAAAAAAATAAAGTACTGCGGTACTTCTTAATTGCACAGAAAAGCAATAACCCTGTAATATTCAAGCACCTATATCCAGGATGCTTACTAAGGGTCAGATCCTTGAATGCAGTCAGCTGCAGGGTGTGGATTCTCCATCGCTCTGGTTTAAAGTGCTGAAATATGATTACTTTCATACCCCCATTATGCCACAACACTGAAAATTCTTTTGCTTTGCTTTCCAAGAGACAGCCTACATATAACATGGCCTACTCAAAGTGCATGGACACCGCTCTCGGTCCCCTGTGGTTGCAGTGGATGCGTATTCTAAATTGCCTGGATGGTTGTTATGCGGGAGTCCAGGGAATTGGTAATAGAGCACATAGCGCTAGTTTTAAATCACTTACAGTGCCATGTTCTCGCCCCCAAGCTCCCTGATCCCTCAACAATGTATCGCATTTCTAGGCCTCCACTTAGATTGTCTGTCCAAGTGAGAGCGCCACAAATGCAGTGCTTTACTGCTCAGATTTGGAGAGGCACAGATGGTGCGAGGTGGCAGTTGTGTTTGCACTGGCCCCCTCCGTGTTCTTTATACGCAGTGAATGCAGTACTCCGTGGGAGGTGAGCAATGCTACGCAGTCAAGTGTATTCAACTGAAAGCCATTTAACATATTATATGACTTTATATAACATGGTATACGAGCTTCTTTTGCTGGAGTTTATTTAAAAATGCGCTGTTTGAAAATAATGCATATTCTGTAGACCAAAATTTTTAGCAGCAGGATTTATTTATTATTGGTACTGCACTTTTTGTCATTAAAAAAAAAAAACATATTCATGCAGATGTCCAAAAAAGATTTGTATAATAAGTGTGAATTTCTGTTTCCCTGAATAATCTCTATGAAGGCCGGCCAATGTGGTAAACAGTGCACAAATTAAATTTTTGGACATCTCTGTTTCAGTGTAATATCGAATATTATTCTCAAATTATAGTTTTTAGTAGCACCTTAAAAGTCACAATTTTATTTTTAAAAATCATTTCTTTCAGCCTAATATCATATTTCCCATATATCATTTTAAAATGAAAGAACAATTCAAACGAAATAAGAATTGTTGTATAATACTCATTTTTTATTTCAACATTTTGAACTGACAGTATTTGAAATAACAAAGCAATAACAGCAAATAAACAAATATCCTCACATTTCCCAATGAGCCATTAAAAAAAGACCACCACAATTTCCCCTTATCTTGTGAAACTTTATTGATGGTTATTGTTCAGCGGGTCATATACTGCATGCACATACGATGACAAGGAGAATGCCTGGTCACAACACTTGTTTAAAAGCATAATTTCATAGTAGAATCACAGCAGCGGATAAGATATTTCACTGAGTTGTGCGATTAGACGCACATAGTACACATGAGGATATAACTTAAGTCTGCAGCAAGGATTAGCCCCCCAAACTTTTTTTTGTTAATAAATACAAAACAGAAACTGACAAACACCTCGAATTAAGACTTTTGTAAACATGACTTATGAACAGTCTTAGCATATGTACAGACAAGCTGCAATTCTTCAAGGATGCTTAGAAGAAGCCTTCTAAACAGCATTCCTGTGTGGCATTTGGAAATGGCTGGGAAGAATTATTACATTATTACTTACTTATAATTTCTCTTAGGTATAATCATCTTATTAAACAATCTGTTATATATTATGCATCTGAGAATTATACATTTACCTTGTCATAAAATAATAGGATATTTGTATAAAAACAGAAAAATAAAAAGAGCTATGCATTTTCAACAGAATAAACGAAAAATTGCAGATTGTGTGTGCTGTATAAGACCGAAATAGTACCAAGATGACGAAATTCCATGATTATCGCTACCTAATGACTGCAATATCTGTAAAATGTTCATAGAAATTCAAATGTTTTTTTTGTGATTCCATAAAAATGATACACCTTCTGTCTAACAGCTCATCTACTTGACTAAGTCTAAAACATCATATCCCCGTATTTTCTATAACAGACCTTTTCCACTGCACAGTTTAAATATTATACATTGTCATCTTTTCTATTTTAATTGGTACAAACGGTTCTAGTATATTTATTTCTTTCTGGAAAACAAAAAGAAAAATAGAAAGAGTGGTTTTATCACCTTATTATTCTTTTTATGTTTCTCCTCCCATAATACAAAAGTCAGCAATGATATCAATAATTTATATACTGGAGGTAATATAAAAACAATGTTTCTTTTTAAAATGGTCTCAACTAGTAAGTACTGGCTAGATACTTGGTTAAACAGTTAAACGCTGCCTCAGTGAGCATGTTTTGGAGTTTTGCCAGGCAGCTTCTACATAACATTAGTATGTACAAGTGTCTGCTTACATCCCAGGAACATAACCTTTGGCTTTGAATAGTGAATGGTATAAGACAGCTAATGGGATTTGTACCTCCCTTATCAACTATATGGGTTATACTAGGGATCGTCAACCTGGCCACACCTCACCCACCCCTGCCACAAAACCTGCCCCATTCTTCTCTCAATACAAATCAAATATATAATCAAATTAAAAACAAAGTGTCATGTAAAAATGCAGAAAACAAAATGACTACTATAGTCACTTACACTTTTACAAAAATGTGATAACCCCAGACAGCGTAATATTTATCATATATTATATAATTTACATGATAAAGCACTCTGGAGTGTGGCTTTAATACTTTTTTTCCCCCATTTGATTTATATCTAGCAGCTTTCTAGATCACCACAGAAATCTCTACAACCAACAGCTTATGTATTCTTTAAAAATGAAAGACCCACATTAAAATACACAGAACAAAATATCTGAGGTATAAGATAAAAAATGTTTATTTTTTCCCCCTCTCTCTTTAGAGATGCTAAAATGATGCACTACTGCATGTATTGCAATACCCAGGCCTCGGAAAGCTTCTCTTTTTGTCCCCACTGGAAGGTTTTATTATGGTTTTTGTCATTTAGTATGGAGCAAAACGGCTGTATCCCCCTCGGTATATACTAGCCTGTAATGAAGAAAGAACGAGACCGACATCATCAGCATGGCTCCTAGTCTTGGCATCAGTCAAGGGTGCAAAAGCATTCTGAAACAAAGTGATGCACGTAGAAGTTTTTAATACAATCGTCTTTGGCCGGTCGTGTTTACCTACACTGAGTCTATGGCACATCAGCATGGGTACAAGTGATCAGGCGGCTTCTCTAAGCCTGGGAAATAGGAAATAAATAAGCTGATGCAAGCAAATTAATAAAAAATAAACATTGACTGCTTGGATCTCAGCATATTCATCCTAAGTCAGTCATTGTATACAATAAAAATGTCACTATCATCCATGACAGCAGGCTCCTGAATCGTAGTCCTGAAACGTGTTATCTGTGATACTCCTCATACTGTAGGTTCACTGGGGTTCCCATCATAAGGCTCATTGAAGATTTGATGAAAAATGTATGTTTATTATGATATAAAACTGAGATCCAAGTCAGTCTCACAAACTTTTCAAACAAGAACCTATAATTTTATAAGTTTAAATAAGCAGCCATGCAAATTAGTATGAACAGTGCGAGGATGCAAAACTTTTCCAGAGCTCAACTCAGCCAAGCAGCTGTACACTGGATTTTATTTTAAGCATAGCTGAGATTTCAACCTTTATTTTTCGTAATTTCAAATATTTTAAATCTTGCCACTGCACTTAGATGATAGATTCAATTATGAAATTGAGTAATTATCCCATTAGGGGTAGCGTTCATTTAGGTGATACAAAATTAAAAATATATTGGGAATATAATAACTTAAATGCAGTGCACTGCCAAGAAATTAAGACATTTATCAAGTTTACTGGAAGGATCAATGCGGCATTTTAGCTGCCGAAGAGAGAGACTCAATTAAGCTAAAGTGAGGAGATGGCAGCTATGATATAATCCACGTGACTGGCAGACTGGCAAAAGGCGAAACGAGGCGAAAATAGAATGCCAAATGGACACAAACGCTGGGAGTGACAAAGTGGCGGGAGTGGGCAGAGAGAGCAGATCATGCTGCGTGCTTACCATGGCACCAATGCTGTATGTGGTTGCTGGAGCAAGTGCGTGGTGGTAGGGGTCGGCAGCATAAACTCGTCCGTAACTAGGGAAAGGAGAGAAGCACATGACCACGCCCTAAACATTTACACTTTCTGCCACACTACCGTCATGAAAACAGGAAAGCTTACACAAAGCTCAGCCGACTTTTCTCTGAAAGGCAGTGCAGTGCAAAAACAACAACAACGAAAAATACGTCAATCACATAGCAAATACCATAGAAATTAGCACACAACTGGAAGACCCAACTGGCAGCAATTCAAAGCAATTGGAGAGAAGAAAAAAAAAAACAAATGATGTAATAAATAAAATGTGGACTCTGCTGGCATGCAACTGTGAGTCTGATCAAAAGAAATGCCTTCTTTTAAAAAACTGATGACTGATGAGACGCTAGCCATGGCATTACAACATGCTGAAGTCGTGAAAAGGTTATCTGTCATTCATGGTTAATTTTTCAGTAACAGCAGCTGGGTTATCTGACAGCAAATGTATTCTGTACCGTAACTTTACCAGTAGAGCATGAAGGATACAAGTAAGCACATAACCCAAATACCTGGTTAACCTACAGTATGCTGTCGCACAAAACAAGGGCTACAGACACATTTGGTTGTTTGGTAGACATGTAACCACAATACAGAAGGTTTTTATGTGGTATTTAGCACCAAATATTTTGGTAAAAAAATATATTTTAGTGCAAATTCAGCTTTAGAAATGTACATTATTCAAATAAATATAAATGCAATGTACTGTATACTTAAACATGAAAATCTTAGTATCAAATCAGGTTCACTTGTACTAATAAATCCTTAAATTGTTTAAAAATCCTCACAAAGAGGCTTGGAACGAATGTTGAACAGATGCTGAAAAATCACTGAAGGACTTAACATGCGCAAGTTGTTACTATAATAAGCATATAAAAACTCTACAAATGTCAATAAACAAAGGCGAGAAAACGTATCAGTTTCTGTTACATGAAAAGTGTTAAACATCAGGAGATGCTGCAGCTCAGTCATAGTGAGAGAAAACTGAGAAAGGATTGACAAAAATATGTATTTAATTAAAAATCATTTTTCATTAAGTGACACAAACTTAATCTTCCTACCAGCCACCGACAAAAAGAAATCTTTCTAATGACCACCTTACATGTAATTCAATATAATTTTCTAACTGTACACCAAATTTTAATTATGACCACAATTAAGCAATGATTTCATTATTGTGGCACACCACAATGTAAGGAGCCTTAGCTCTTATACTGAACAACTAATTTTTAACGTACAATGTATTATACCCTGAGCAGTTGTATCACTCAAAAAAATCTAAATATTAAACAAACCACCTTTTGTTACCTTGGGTACACATTCTACTTTAATGATTATCATTATGCATACTTTATTTACTATATATTCTACATGCTTCACATGAATATTATTATTAATTTTGGTAAAAGATGGAGAGTAATTATATATACAGCAGTCACGGTGCTAAAAACCTACCAAATGAATAGATATGAAATTAGTTTTGAGTGTATTCAGAGCTAATTCTCATGACTCTGTTGAATAACTGATTATCAGGTATATCTCTTTAACCTTTGGGCCCTTCTTTCATTCATAATTTATACAAAACATGCCAGTAATAGACAGTACATGCACAAAGGCTTTGGTCAAGTTATGTTTGCATTTGTGTCATTTGGATCAGTGTCCAAGTCCATAATAATCATATTTTTATCTTTTTACAATTAATCCTCAAATCATTTGTCTAATATATTAATTGTCAAAACAAAAACAGCACATTTGATCATACTTATCAATTGATACTTGTCATGCTAATCTAACTGACAACAATTTATATATATATAATAATAAATTCATAATGACACACAACACGCACACCTATATTGTTCATATACGCATAGATGATGAATGGACAAGCATTTGGGTGATGGATGGATTGATGGTAGGATGGATGGACAGATATACCAAATATTACAATAGAAGCTTCATAAACAGTAGAAGCAGAATCTAGCTGTTACAGTTATGCACCTGAAATATTTTTGGGGATATTAACCATCCACCCGCTTCTTGTTTAAATAGGATTTTTGGTTGGTCACAAAATACTCCCCAAATACAGCGGCAGATACATGGAAGCACATTCAGTCACATTGAAACACACACACACACACACACACACACTCACTAAGGGCAGCTCAGGGTCACCAATTTCCTCAAATAATTTGCAATTATTTAACTTCAGAAGGACTCTTACAGAGTCTTAAGATTTTTGACAGATAAATGCAAGCAGACAGACTGGTAGAAAACCTACACTACAACTGTCATTGGGTGACATTTGTTTTACTTAAGAAAAAATGTAAAATATCACCTAGATTGAAGCAGCATTTATACCAGCATTTATAAACTCTCTAGCTGCTTTTACAAAATGCACTACAATTCTGGTATTTAACCTTTAAACACCTGTAAACTGTCAACAAAAAAGTTTTGTTTAACAAATAACAGATCTTAGGCCATCAGATAAAGAGTTTACTCTGATCAAAAACTAAAAGCAATGCATGTATTTCTCCAGGGGGGTCTTCCACGAAGCAGGATTTCTCAGTTAGCTAGGTTAACTTAAGCTTGAAGTCATGATTGTCCAATAAGAATTTTGGTAAGGAGTATTCCTAATTGACAATCCCGTCTTCTAGCTTGTTAACCCAGCTAACTTAGAAATCCTGCTTTGGGGAATACCCCCATGTCTTTGTGTAACCTGTATAAATGTCAAAATATGTTTATTGAAATATATACAGTACCAGTCAATAAATTGGAGACATCTGCTGAAATTATTTTGTAATGATAATGACCCTAAGCTAGTTATATAGTCAAGATCACCTAAACTGAGACCAAGTCATTACCAAGACCAGAGTGTATCGAGACTGAGACAAGACCAAGATCAAGGAAGGGAGATACCAAGATAAGACCAAGACCAAGGCAGAGGGAGACTGAGACAAGACCAAGACCAAGGCAGGGGGAGAATGAGACAAGACCAAGGCAGGGCTAGTCCAAGTGGCATAAATTTCAGAGTGCACTGCATGCTTGATCAGAGTGTTAATTTAGACCTATAACTAGATGTAGTGTTGCGACTGAGCTGACATTGTAAAAATTGGGTCGCTTTGCAAAAAAGGTTGAGAACCACTGCCCTAACATTTCACAGTATAATTTGAACCACGGACATTTTTTCTTACAATTTCAATATAAATGCTTCTGTACAAAAGTAACATTTTTTTCAAACAAGATGGACCTAATTGGTTGCATTTGAGCTTTGAAGCAGGATGTTTTACACCCAGTCACAGTACTGTTAACCCTTTGAACCCTGTCCAGTTTTGTGCATTTTTCTATCCCTTTGATTTTAGGCTTATTACCTAGTATGTACATGAGTTAGCCACATATACTATATGGTTTTGTTTTCAGGACATTCTGGCCTACTCAGATATGTCATAAATTGACGTGTAAATGCTGACACAGTCCTGATATCATCCTTCTTATGAGGAAAAACTCCTTTCACCTATCGAAATTTCTCAATTTTTAGTCTCATCTAATACAATAATTTGCAAGCACTACAAGTACAATCTTATAAATGTTGAGACTGCAACATGGTGGTGCAGTGCTTAGCACTGTTGTCTTACACCTCTGGGATCTCAGTTCAAGTCCTTGCCAGGGTTCCATGTGTGTAGGGTTTGCATGTTCCACAGACACATTTGGTCACACTGTGTCATCGTGGGGTTTCTTCTGGGTACTCTGGTGTCCCCCACAGTCCAAAAACATGGTGAGGTTAATTGGAGCTGCCAAATTGCCCATAGGTACGTGTGTGTGTGTGGCATGGCATGTGAGTGTGCCCTGTGATGGATTGGCACCCCTTCCTGGGTTGTTCCTTGTCCTGTGCCCATAGGCTCTGGACCCCCCATGACCCTGAATAGGACAAGTGGTTTCCTAAGATGGATTGATGGATGTTGAGATTAGAGTCTCTATGATGCAGAAATGCAGGAGTTTCACTGGGAACCTTTCTATGGCTTAGCATTTTGAAGGAATACATAGTTAGTTTAGTTAGTTAGTTTATCTGATAGACAGCAATGGCTGGTTTTATATATATTTAGTTATTATTACATAATGTGAAAAAAAATTGAAATACAAAAGCATTGTGTAGTTTATGATCCACTGAATAAACAGACATAAAAGACGGTTTTAGAGTGTAATGCTGAATGTTTATCGCTATTGTTTTTCTGCCCGTATAGGCTATGATTGGTAAAGTGAAATTTAAAAATGAAACTTTGACTCGTCATTTTAGCCAGAAATAAACAATGCTGTAGCACGTTCAAGACACCTCAAGGTTGAGTAGTAAGTATTATCTCCTTAGCATGGAAGGAGATAGAGTGCTGTGATAGATGACCTGGCCCACAATCTCCTGACATAAAGCCTATAGAACCATTTTGAGATGAGTTGCATCGAAGAATAAGAGCAAGGTGGCCAACATGTGCCCTGAACTTGTGGAAACTCCTTCAGGACTGTTGGAGAAGCATCCCAGGTAGCCAACTTGGTTGAACAAATGCAGAGAGTCTACAGTGCTGTCATTGAAGCAAAAGGGAACTATTTTGAAGAGTCTAAAAATCAAGAAAATTCTGAGATGCTGAACACTTTTCTTGGTTGTTGCAGTATGTGTTATGTATTATTTCATTGCCTTGAGGCCTTTTACTATAAGGTGAATAACAGCTAAAATAGAGACAAATGAATTCAAAACAGGTATGTCCAGACTTTTGGATGGTACTTTATGTTTATATGGATGAGAGGTTTAAAAGTTTTCTTTATGATTGGAAAAATTTGTACACATATCAATGCATTCAAATGTTAAACTATTAACTAATTTACTTTCAGAAGGGGCTGGGTATTATTAGCAAAAACATATTATTTAGCTCACTGCATCCCAAGGGAAGTAACAGTCATTATGTAAATCGATACTGCCTCAAGTTTACCACCTGACACTTATACTTCAATAAAGGTA